CCACCCCCCTCAGCCCCACCCTGTTTTCCACTCCTGCTACACCTCCATCAGCATGAACCTGCCCTCCCTCTGGTTGATATCTGAATCTCCTTCTCTGGAGGCAGTTTAAGGTTACTGAGCCGGAGTCACTGCAGCTGCAGGAGACCAGGCTCCTCTCTCTCTCTCTGTGTGTGTGTGTGTGTGTGTGTGTGTGTGTGTGTGTGTGGGGGCGCGCTGTTTAGCGCACAGCGCACAGCTTTCACTCTCACTCTTCGCTCTGCAAACATGTGAAATTGAAGCAGCTCATGCCGCAATCATGAACGTGAAGTCGCTCAGCTATTAGCTGGAGGACGGGGAGGGGGGGGAGGAGGGGAGGGGGAGGACGTAAGGACGTGAGGAGAAAAGACATTTTCATATTAAATTAGCTGAGCAGAAGGAAAACAAGAATTCACCTCTGGAGAAAGACGGACTAATGAACTGAATCAAGTGTTTGGTTTGGCTGATCGTCAGATCTGACAGTGACTGGAAGGAGATGCAACAGATTAAAAATGCAGACACACACACACACACGCACACACACAGACACACTGTTCAGCTGTATGGATTCAGACATGAATCAGGTCACACAGTTAAACATCACAATAAAAATGGATGTGAATTTTGTATTTACTCTACGGAGCAGCATCAGCAGCAGAAACAGCAGCATCAGCAGCAGCAGCAGCAGCATCACTGCTGTGAATTCACACTGAGGAGAGAGAGGAGACCCTGTTGCATCGATGCACTCACTTCTCCACAGTCAGAAAAAAAGAAAATGGAGAAAAACATTTACATTTTCAAAACCAACATGTTAAACTTAACTTTCAAGCCTTAAATGCTGCTGTTTTTTGTTTTTTTTATCTTCCTCCAAAGTTTTTTTGTTTTTTTTTTATCTTCCTCCAAAGGTAGACTCAAACACACTCTCTGTGGTCCATGGTGGACGAGGTGTGGTGGAGCTGAGGTGAAGGTATGATCAGTGGACGTGTCACCTCCACCTAACATCCTGATCAGTCCTCAGCCCACATCTCTGCCGTTCACCTGCCCACTAACAGATCTTCCTACCTCCTCACTGAAGCTCCTTTCTGTGACTCCTCGTCTCCTGTGGCCTCTCTGTCCGTATCTGTACTTGCGTCTTTGCTTTTTCTTCTTCTTCTTCTTCTTCTTCGTGAAATTGACTCTGCACCTTCTCCTCTCTCCTCACTAATGTTGCAGTGACAGAACAAACACACCCTCGCTCCTCTCTCTCTCCCCTCTCTCCTCCCCTCCTGACTCTCATTGGCTGCCTGTTAGAGGTGACATCACCCTCTCTTCTCCTCTGCCTGCCTCCTTCCATCCTCCCCTCTGTTCCCTCCCTCACTTGCTCCCTCTCTTCACCTCACTCTCTCTAGATTTGGGACATTGCTCCGTGGTACCTCCCCCCTCCTCCTCCTCCTCCTCCTCTTCTCCTTCCATCTCCTCTCCTTCACTGTATCCAGTCTGGATTAATAGGTCCGGCTGCTGTTCTGACTACATCCACACTCAGTGATGCAGAGTCCAGTACGTTACTGCATCCTACACATTAGCATGACACATGTCCTCCCTGCTCTGTGTTCTGTCTGTAATAATGGACGGTGAGGGTCAGTGGTCGTGTGTTTGCGTGCAGTTTAGCGCACAGCTTTCACTCTCACTCTTCGCTCTGCAAACATGTGAAATTGAAGCAGCTCATGCCGCAATCATGAACGTGAAGTCACTTTAAGACACTTTTAATTTTATTTTACCACTAAAAAAAATAAAAAACATTTTGTCATCCCAGTTTAGTTAGAAGCTCGACTGTAGACGAACGTTCAGTCAAAACGCTGAATGAACAGATTTGAACCAAGTCTGGGTTTGATCTAATCAGAGTCTGGGGGTTTGTGGGTGCAGTGATTAAAAGCCAGTGATAATGGAATTGTTGAATGGGAACTAATGGACGTTTCAGTCACTCACTGAGGGAGGTTTTTTTTTTTGGTTTGTTTGTTTTTACTTGTGCAGTAGATTATTTAATGCAACAAAAGCTGTAAATATAAAACTGTGTTTTTTTTTCAAAAACTCAAACTGATATGCTTTGGTACAAAATTGTAATTAATTAAATTAAATTAATATAAATTTTCATATGTATGTATCTCATATAGTTTTTCACATCCAGCCTGTGTACACAGTACCCTCGTTAATCCTACTGACATTATTTCTTTAAACTT